GCGAAAATTTTTTGTTCATGCATTAGCAAATACACGACACAGCGGTACAGAGCTGTTCATTCCAAATTGCCAATCACTTACCCCCAGTCCAGGCCTGTTTCCTTATCTAAGGCTGTAGGCGACGACATGGCTGGATTCATAATACAACACATCACACAGTTCTTCACGACCTTTTTGCGGCAAGGACATCCTGGCACAATACATAAAACTGATATCGGACGATTACATGTGATACATACGTTCGTTTTTATTCCCACCTGCAAATGGTATCAATTGCTGTCATAATAAAATAGCACCGACATTTTAAGCTTTTTCCCAAATTCACCAAAAATTATCCTCTATGCGAATATACAACCCCAGTTCTAAAGACGATTAAGCTAACATACGAAATATTCGCTACGGCCAGCAACGTGCTTTTAATATAAAGCGGACCTAGACAATAACTGCGGATCAGGAACATGAGAACGTGGCTTCACCAAAAACGGATTCCGAAAAGAACAAGAGCTTTACACAGTCACACCGATATGCACTTGCCAGATGTACACCTGCACCGCTGGCTTTGCCAGATATATTCATTTCAACAGCCTTTATAAGCTCACATCATTCACTTTGGTATTGACGACCTCCCATACAACAGTTCCAACAATTTTTAGCTTTTCTCATTTTGCTAATCCTTTCAGTAAGCTAATCGCCTTTATATTTAATTTACTAAGGGGAATAACGACCAGGCATGATCAGATATTGTGGTGATCAGATATTTGTCTGATTGTTATTACCCTTAGTAAATTGAATATACAAGCGAACAGCTTACAAATGAAAGGAATAGTAAAATGATAAAGGCTAAAGGTCATGATGGCCAGACAAATATTCGAAAATCTCATACAATTAAAAGAGTTGCTTTGGTACCGCCTGTGCATGTGTCGATGGACCAAAGGAACTAATTAAGGTGCTAGACTAAAGCAGTGAAAAGAGAGGATTTATTATACGAGACAAAGGCACAAGACAAAATGAGCGATTGATGAATCACCGATGGTAGCGTGACTGGATTAGTTGATGCACTCAGTCCGATGATATACGCGGAACCCGAACAATCGGATCGTCAGCGATCATTATCCCTCTCCGTCCATCGACTGAGTGCCCTACGTCAACTTATCCAACTCCGTTCTCCGACTGAGTGCGCTACGTCAATTAATCCAAGCAAGCTGCCATCGGTGATTCGTCTATATTTTATTTCGTCTCGTATAATAAACCCCCTCTTTCCGCTGCTTTAGCCTAGCACCCTAATTGGTTCGTTCGGTCCATCGACACGTTCACACGCGCTACCAAAGCAACTCTCTTTTAACTATAAAAACATATATGAAGGTTTCTGAAATGAAGACTTACTCCCCGGCAATGTTTTTTTGCACGAGGCTCATCGGTACCATCACCACAGCCCCGGATACGTGCTCCAGAAATCGTCAGACCGTTTTCGCGTGCCCAATCATCAAAGTTCCAACCTCGCACTACGTTTCCAAAATCAATTCTGAATTTGCAAATAACGGAGCAGATTAAACAAACAGTTAGAAAGAAAAAAGAGCGAAGAGCAGAGATAAAGCACAGTTAGAAGTTTAACCCTTGAGAGAGTTTGTATTTCAACAATCGC